ATCTTAAAATGGTATAGTCTGCGATCACCAGCTGAACGGTTACTCACCTTTTAGAACTCTTGACTGCTGTATCGGGTCCGACGTACCTGAACGATTCTCACCCAACCGTAGGGCGGCCAATTCGAAATGAGCGGGCAGAACAAACAATTTGTTCTCAACACCTCCACGACGATTGACAGCATCAACCGTGTCCACAACTCCGCCCGTGAGGGCCCGTGTGTCTGTCCAACTTTCACGATTGGCACGACCGTATCGTGTTGGTTTGTGACCGTTGTCTGTTGGGGCGACCGTACTGAGCGGGTGTGCAGTGGCGATGTGTTCAGACAGAGGTTCCGACAAATCTGTCATCTCGGCGGTGGAAGGAATGGGCGAGTGAAATACTTGGACCTGAAGCCGATGTTTTGATGTCGGTTCGGCCTGGTTCGGAGTGCCTATGCGGTGCAAAAAAGGGTGAAGGGTGTGGGAGTGAACAACCACAGCAGTCATTTTTGATCATATCAAAACTGAAATGTCTATGGACCAATTCGGTACTGAATGGTGCTCAGCAGCGTAGTAGCGTGTCACCGATGGAGTAAGGAGTTTGAACGTGGAACCATCAAAGGTTCGAGCAAGGTAGATGGCCACCACTATTCCTAAAGGACGGTGACTAAATGTGACGAAAGAAAATGAGAAAAGTCACCGCGGATTAAACCAGGGGAAAATCATTTAGGTGAGTGATAGAATGCCAGTTAATCAGTACAACCTAAGTATTCCTATCGGACTTACAAAAGACAGACTCCTATGAAAAATCGATGGAAGCATAGGTTCAGTTGATAAGTTCCAGTAAAGAAGATAAATGCGATTTTCCACCGGTTACGAGCTAGAAGTTAACGGGGTTTGATTTGATTTAGTGTGTCTGTTCTCCACATTCATCTTTTTAAGTCAATATGCACGCCGACGAATAAAAACCTCAAGAGCGCATATCGAGTGTCTCAAATAATATGCAATTAATCATCTGCAGTGGGTATGCAACGAGAACGGTGGGGGGAGAGGGCTGGAAGGGGTTCGAACCCGAGAACCCAGAGCAGTGGTACAAAACGGGCCTATCATGTTGGCTTTCCGAGTAGGACTATTCTTTCTGGCCCTCGGACGAACCGAACACAGAGAAATCGTGATTAAATTTCTAATGGAAGGAAATGGGTTATCACATTAGGATTGATGGTCAAGCAATAGACTCTTCGCACGACATTGAGTCAACGTGTATTTTCTTTTCTTTTTCTTTTTCTTTCTTTTCATTTTACTTCCTTTTATTGAATATAAAACGATACAATTTTCGGGAAACGGGAACCAACCAATCAAAGGGCTCTATTCAAAGAAAGATCTATCAAAAAGCAACATGGAGTGGACAGCATACAAATTTTCATAGCTGAGTCCCACTCTATCAAAAACGTAACCTCGTACGCTGTCTCCTGCAGAGAGCAAGGTGCTTCTGTTCAGAAGATACTTTAAAGGACGAACTTGAACTAGCAAGGAGAACCTTACTGGAAAATGGCTATCCTGAAAAGTTTATCGACCGTAATTGGACTGGACAGAATAAGCCAACAAAAACGATAAAAGCGGAGAAGAAAATGCTTTTTTATAAAATTTCCATTTAAAGGCGATTTCACCACTGACATGGTCAGTAGAGTTTTATCCGCAGCAGTGAAATCCACATTTAATGCCGCTCAGCTCGGATACGTGTTCTCCACTTCCCCAAACATCCGATGTTACAACAAAGATAAACTGTCTATGTTGATCTCATCTATGATTGTCTACCAATTCAAGTGCACCATGTAGGTCGAACGATAGGGCAGTTATCTCAACGGATCAAGGAACAGGGTGAAAAATCCGGTAAACTTGATCTGAAAGAAGGAGTGCATTGTCCTACCCTACCCTGTCCAATTAGACATATAAGGGAAGAGGAGTATCTCAAAAGTTCCACCTCCATCGACCAGAAGCTGACCGTCACTTGGAAAAATCAATAGCTGAGGGGTTGTCGGGGTCGGGTGATTGGGGACGGACAGCCAGCAAAAACAGATCCGGGACAGGTCAGAACGAATCACCAGCTAGCTAACTCGGTCATTTTCTCGCGTGGACTAAACGGCTAACTGCTAAATCAACGGCTCCAGTCTTTATTTACAGACACCAGTAGAAGATGTGAAAACTCCGAAAGCCTCAGTATGGTCGTGTGTGGGTGTCTTGAGTTATGGCTGGTCACGCTTCCCTTACACCTCACGAAATTCTTCCATACGACCAAGTGTCTCAAACAGCTTCTTCTGAGGACGCCCCACTCAGACTTCACGTGGAGGAGGTTTTTCCCCACAAAAGTGAGAGGACGAAAAGCCAACATCCGGGGCTATATAACCGGGTCGGTGAACCACTAGCAGTTCCGCTAAGGGAGCTGGCTACAAACCCTGATTTTAAATCAACCAAGAAGAAGCGCATGAATCACACCCACCCACACCTTTCTGGCTGTGGCAGTGGTCACCGACTGGATTGGGTATCGCGGTGTATTGGGCACACTGGGCTCTTGACCCCATTTAAAGGACGTATGGTTCGATGAACTGGACATCGGCCCACAATGTATTGTGGTTTTCCCGCACCGCACCGTTGTCCTGCAGCTCAGGCTTTGGTTAAACGAAGTTTCCGGTTGTGAAGTTCTCAAGAAAATTATCCTGTCTCGGCGTGGGCAACCTGGAAGTATCCCGCTCAAAAGCAAATCACTGAACGTCTTCTTATGAAGATAATTGTACAGTGATTTGTTTGGCACACAGCCTGACCTCAGACGTGTGTGAAATACACATGAAATACAGAAGACGTGGAAGCCATAGAAATGATCGATAACTGGGGCTGGTAACCTGCGTATATAGTTTGAATGTGTGTGGCATCAGGCCAGACGAGAACAAAATTGTTTGACACTAGAGTAATGTGGTGCTAACCGGGATTAAACTTCGAACCATAGGACCTGGAAAACGTTAGTGCGATTGGTTGAACCGTTATGTGGATCAATGGGCACACACACCGAGAGAGAGATGGAGAAAAGGGGCGGGGGCAAACGCCGAACGAACACTCGCAAATCGTGTTGGAGTTGCACACTGACCGGGATGCACACAATATACATGGAACGACCGGTTGCTTTGCTGCGAATGGGAACATTCATATGCATAAAGTATCGTATGTATGCAATAAAACTGCCTATTCCTGATTACCATACCAGACTTCGTGATTCATATGCGTGCGCGGTTTATAGTACGTGTTGGCTCTTGGTGGTTTCAAGCCTGAGCGACAGAAACGAACGAACGAACGAACAAAACGCAAACACGTGTGTAGTTGCCTCTATATATTAACGAGCGCTGACAAAATGAAGCGATTCACGGGCGAACGAACAGGTAGTTCAATTAGCGGCTGGGTAAATAACGCGATAAAAACGGTCGCGTGATACAAGAGAATAAAATGCGTATACACCTTTAGCTCATGTTTTCATTCTCGTTATTGGGCTCCGATAGACCATAGTGTCCTCTATCCATTGTTAGAGCTCCTCCACATTGCGCCCATTCGTTTCGAACATGAGGTAACCAAGTATGTGCAAAGGCTGAGTATAGCGTTTTCGGATACATAAAACGTTTGAGAATATCTCACACAAAAATAAGCATTACATTTTCCCGAAAAATTCTCCGCTAGCGTTCATGCACAGTTCCATGCGCTCAAACCATTTGGTGAAACAGCTCAATCATACCGAATCGAACACTTCTTAGACCAGTTCAATGAAGGCCTCTTCTGCAGATGTTGGTGACCTGTATCGGATTCCACGCATCATGCGCTTGACATTTTGGAATGCAGTGCTTCTTAGCAGATGCGTCATCATCAAAGGCAACTTGCAAACGATCAACACTCAACTGCTGCTTTAATCCATCACGTAGAAAATCATCACCCTCCAGTTACATTGGATGAGTTCCATCCTCACAGTCCGAGTATAGCGACCCTTGTATGACCTGTGAGCTGTGCTCGGCTGTTGATATTTGGTTCCGTGTGAGTTTCAATCACTGAACAGTTCACGTTTCCTTTGCTCGGCCATCTGCATCTGGTACGTATATGCTGTTTATTCGGAAACCTTCTGATCAACCCTGGTATACTTTCTTTCTGACCTACTGATGGTCATCAACAGTGGCGCAAAAAACCGTTGCACATGGTCGATTGCAAAATACGTCTGTCAAAAGCCCGCTTTCGCACAGACCCGTTTTAACGACTATCACGATAGCAGGATAGTGAAGACGTTGAGGAATATTGCTTTTTAATCAAAGAAACTATCCAATCATTTATTCGGTCATTCATCGATCAACCAGCTCATCAATCACTTTAATTGGGGAAACCAGGTTAATTGACAAGGAAGATGAGGTAGTTAGGTGGGTACAGATGAATGTGGTGTGTATCGCGCGCTTTAAGTTCCAGTTTGTACAACCTTTAACCATGCACTTTCGTGCGCCAGTTTTGGTTTCTGTCCTTTGGTTGCCCATTTGGATGAAAGTAGGAGAAAGACAGGAAAGTTGAGAATAGAATCGAAGACAAAACGGAGAATTTAAGTGGTCTAAAGTCGAAAAGAAACTGAGAACATACACGAACGCCACTGGTCGCGACACCCAGCCAAATCACTCCATGTATCTAACCATCGGTTACGATTATCCCGAGGTCCCCGTCCAAGGAGCCTAACTGGACCTATGTGACACAGGCCCATGGTTAAGGTTTTCATACCCTCGTAGTTTGACCACCCTTGGCTTTTTTCCACTCGATATCTGCTTCGGCGAACATCGCTCGCCGTGGCAACCTATCTGGTGGCATGCGTACCACATGCCCCAACTAACGTAATCTATGAAGGTCAATTACTTGTTACTGTGGGCAACCACGGTTACCTAAACCTCTGCAGTCTCGTCGTGATGGTTATCACGAATTGTTGATGCGCACCGATTTATCATCCCCTCATGATTTTGCAACTATTCACTGTATGTATATTTCACTATTCGACCAGACCGAGTTCCATAAAAACTAACTGAAGGTATGAAAATTGTATTTGTATGCCGGCAGCCTAATAACCTAATAAACATAAATATTTCCCCACTCCTAAGGCATAAAATTGATTGCGTATTAGTTAGAGTTAGATAGTGAATTGCTACCCGCCGACAACCTACGGTACCCAATCAGAATGAACAAGTAAGGCGTCACTCAGGAAGTTTCATTATCGGGCTGTGTTTAGTAACCCTGT